TAGTATCAGGCATTGTGGGATTGGATTGAGGCCCTCGTGAGGCCCTTTGTTATCTTTCTTCTTTTCTTTCCATTTATACTTTTTGTGTGATATTGGCAGTGTATTGATCGAGTCTGATAAGCATCCGGTCAGAATTTTGCTTGAAGGGATTGCAGTAGAGCTTCTCGTGCAGCATGACAATATGTTGGAGCATCCAACATTTCCACGTGCTCACCGCCATCTGTCGCCTCTGTCGTCCCCCAGAGATCGATGACAAGATGCGGGCTTTTGCCGAGCAGATCTTTGCATCTGAGAACAAAGGCGAGGACATCCGCGATGAGATCTCCGTCTTTGACGTGCCCGAGGACTGTCCCATTCTCCACCATGAAATGGCGCACCACCTTCATGTTGATGATGATGTTGAGAAGCGGTGAGTTTGTATAGCATTGACCCAAAAAACCTGTATTGTTTGATACAGTGCGCATCGAACTGTGTTCACTGTATCAAGCGATTTGAAACAAGTACATGTATTGATGCACCCATAACATATATTCAGTATGTACCATACATATATGTTGGACAAAATGTTTGGTGTGTAATTCTGTATTAATTCCAAATAACCTTTTAAAAAAATTCTGTCAACAATTTTTTGGCTCTATAAATGTGAGCTGGGACTTATATAGTATTGATTAACTCCATCCATAGCAAGAAGCGCTTTCACAGCATGGCCGCGCCAAGGGCTGATACCCACACACGTGAGGTCCCTGTGATGTCAGTGGAAGTGGACACACCCATCTATTTGGAAGTGCCGGACTTCCAAAGAGTGGCCATCATTGGGGACTACGCTTCTGGGGTAAGGGCAAGAGTTACATTTCTTTCTGACTGGTCAAAATCACAATTGCTTTAAATGTTAGTATGTAATTCTGTCATGTCAAAAAGCTGTGCTGCTTCCACCTAGCAGTCTAAACTTATGTCAATTTGTTTGTATTCTATACAACCTGTTATCACGATGACAGAGGTAATTCCAATTGTCACTTTCACAAGGTTTTTCAAAATCCAAATTATATGAGTTCGGGGCGAAGAGTGTATTGTATTTGTGTCGAGTCTCTGTATACTTGACTGCAGTGATCCCCAATGTCAATGTAATGATCAATTCACTGCACTACAATCTTTGTTTACCTATCTTTGATAGTGATGTATATTGGCAGACAGAACAATGAAATGTTCTTCTCTTAAATGTCAGAGAAGGACCAAAATCAGTACGAAATCAGGATGCATACTTTTGATATTTTTGTGTGGTGGTGTGCAGTGAGATTTTGCTAATTTAACGTGTGCTTCAGCTCAGTACAGTTTGAGAAACACTGCCTTGATGACACACTAAAAAAAAAAAAAAAAAAAAAAAAAAAAAA